ACTTTTTTTTTTTTAAAAAAAAAGATTGTCTTTAGATACTAACAAAGAATTCTCTACCAAAATATGCTCTAATCTAAATTGATATATTTAAAAAGACATATGCACAAAACAATAATACATCAGTTATTCTAATATTACAACACAAATTTGATATATATTACGCTTATAATATTAATAAACAATCCTGTCATACAATTAACTTGCACGATTAATACTTTTTAGTATATTTACTTGATATCTCCTTACTACACAGTATTCTTGGGATATTATTTAATATATCTTGGCTTTTTAAAAAAGACTCAGATAGCTGTATAGTAGATAATACGATATTGTTCTCTTGATAATTATACTTGCGTTCTGCATATTATCGCTGCTTCTATGACTTTATCAATAATTGACAGAACTAATCTATAATAATTCAATAAAACTAAACAAATATATTTATCTGAGAATAAAATAGTATTATCTATATGTTTAAGATTTTGCAAATATTTTTTCATATAAAAAAATAAAAAAATATTTGTACTGATCGATTAAACAAAGTGTTAGTTTAGAGATTTAGAATTGATAAATAATAACAAACTTATAAAAGATTTACTCTAAGTTCTTAATATATGATCTAACAAAAATATGCTATTCGCAAATATATATATTTCAAAAGGGTCAAAAACTTTTCATGGTTGGTATATCTATCCTCTTCCATATGAGATGTCTATTAAAGAGTTTTTTGACAAACTCATTATTGAAGAAATATCGCCAGAATACAACATTAATATAGACCCTTTTGAAATTATTGAGAGCATTGAATTGAGTCAATCTGTAAATACAACAACTATTCAAGCAGGTTTTGATTGTGAAATAATTAAAGTAACAAAAATATTTGGTGTAAATATATATTACCACCTTAAATCTAATAATTCTACAACTTCTCATTCAATATCTTCTTCAAATACTCTTGAAATACTTATGCAAAATTTACGTAAAAAGCAAATATACTTACCAAGTTCTTTGAAATCAACATAATTAAACAGAAAAAATATATTGTATAATGATATCATCGAATAAATTCATGAAAATGGTGGGATGGTTTACAGTTGAATATGCTAATATACAAGGAAAATATTTCATTAATTGTTTGCACAAAGCAATTTGATATATTGATATATGTGGGTATTTAAAGTTTAAAGAACGTAGCTAACATATTCCTGAATTATTTTTAGAATTTTTTGGTCGTGCCAACCCTAAATCGTATAAAGTTACACAAAAGCCTTTTGATGCAGATGAATTAAGTCTTCATTGTCAAACTCTTGCATTATTTACAACATCACTATAGATGTTCAAATTGATATTTAATTGGCTTTGTACACCCTATAAGAACTTAATTGAAACTATTTCAAATTAGATTAGAGCATATTTTGGTAGAGAATTCTTTGTTAGTATCTAAAGACAATCTTTTTTTTTAAAAAAAAAAAAGT